TTAAATGAAGACTTATCCAATACTACAAGTAATAATAAAGAAGATTTCTTTTAAGATTCAAATAAAACAAAAAAGAATATTTCTATTAGATAAGATCTCTTTTGAGAAGAAACTGTGAAATGAAACAAGAATCTCTTAAAGGGTTTTGAGTTGTTTTTTGTTTCTTTTTTTTCCAATACTAACTTTAGCAATTTATCATTTTTCAAAATAATTAACAGTGACAAATTGTTGATAATGACCTTGATTAACTTAGAAGCATTATGTTAAGTAACTAGAAAAGTATAATATTGTCCCTTAAATTTGATTTAGTTGAGATTTAGTTTTGTTTAATCTGAACTAGCTTAGTAAATACTTCATATTTTTTAAGTAGTATAGTCTTTCAACTAATAATATATAAAGATGAGTTAGTCATTATATGAAAAAGTCTATAAATTATTTTGATATTTTTTTAAGTATCTTGATAAAGACAAGCCATTTCAATATAATTGAGGATTAATTAAAAAAAAAAAGAAGTAATACTATACAGTATAGTCTACCCTTATTAATATGATCCTCAATAGTATAACATATAACTATGTACCTCTTACATTATATTAACATTATTTAATTTATTTGATATTTAAAGTACTTAATATAAATAAAATTATATTTATATGTATTAAAAAAATATCATGTAACTTGTACTTGCTTGGTTTTGTAGAAAACAATAGAAATAAATAAATAAAAATAAAGATGATAAAAAAATGAGTAAATATTTAATAAAAATTTTTAACATGTAATTGATAAAATAAATTGTTCATTTTTTTTAAAATTATTATCTACATATATAGTCTTCTTTTAATAATATATAAATTATTGTTAGCTTAAATAAAGAATTAATAAGTATTTTTTTTTTATAAAAGAACAAAATCAAAAACTTATTTCTGTATACTTTTTCATTATTATGTCTGAGACTGAATCTTCTATATCATTTTAAAAAAAATAAATTAGTAAAAAACTTCACATATTGAAAAAAAAACAATTTATGAGTTTGTTAAAACTGTTAAAGATAATCCAAAATGAACTTATTAGACTATTGCTGATAAGTTTAAAAAAATGTATATTTTTTATTACATTACTTAAACAAAAAAACAAATGATTAAATTATAATCCTAATCAAATGAAAAAATATATCTAAGAACATCTTTCAAAATTTTTTCAAGTAGAAGAAGAACTATGAATGTGATATCTTGATACTATATATTATGAAGTTTTTTTTACAAATTCTATTTTATTAGAAAAAATAAATCCTATTATTATGTAATTAAATATAGATAATAAAATATATAAAAGATTAAACAGATGGTTATATCAATTTAAAATACAATATGGCATATATTAAATAAAGTTATACAATAAAGCAAATAGTATATTACTTGATATACTTTCAACATATTCTTTCAATAATATATTTAATACTGATGAAATGAATTGTTTTGAAAGATGCTACCTAATAAAACACTTGCTATTATATCATATGTTAGCAAAAAAATAGTAAAAGATCAAATTACAATTATACTTTGTTGTAATTTATAAGGTACTAAAAAAATTCAACTATTAGTTATTGATTATGCCAAAATATCTCATTCATTTCATAGAATTCAAATTATTAACTTATCAGTTAATTATACTTACAACAAAAAAGCTTGGATAATTAATATATTATTTAAACTTTGAATTAGAAAATTAAATTCTCAAATGTATACTGAAAATCATAATACTGTTCTTCTTTTAAATAATATACCCAGGTATATAGATTATTGTGATAATCTTATCAATATCACTATTAAGTTTTTGTCACCTAATACTACTAGTTATTTACAATCACTAGATGCTGATATTATTAATTTATTTAAAGCCAAATATTATAATCTTCATATTAATTGGCTTCTTCAACAATATGAAAATGATATAATAAATGCAACACCAAATCTTTTGAATACTATACACAACATTGTTATTGCTTGGGATGCTATTACTATTACAGCAATTATTAATTGCTGGAAAAAAACTGAAATTATAAATAATAATATAATTAATAATATATGTACCATTAATTCTAATAATAAAAACAAATAATTTCAATTAGGTTTAGCTTTAAATACTCTTAAACCTTTAGTAAATTATGAAATTATTGAAATTCAAGATTATATTAATATTCCTAATGAAAATATAAATATTAATAGTAAACTTAGCATTGAAGAAATAGTTAAATTGTTAATACTCAGTTTAGATTTGAATGATAGTACTATTGAAAGCAATGATAATAAAGAAATTTCTCCTAAAATATCAATTTCCATAACTCTTTCTTCTATTAATAATATTTCTCTTTTTATTCAACAAGAAAAATCTTCTTTATTTACTCAAGATCGACTTTCTATTCTTTGTCAACTTACTTATGAACTTAATGAAATGTATATTACTAAAAAATCTAATTAGTTTATATATTTTATTTTATATTATAATAAAGTGTATTGTTTAATATATATTCAATATTATGACAAACGATACTATGACTAACGGTTTGTCAAGTGTGATCGTATTAACGAGGGTAGACTGTATATACAGTATATACTGCATGTTGTATATAAGAAAATTTATACAAGGAAAAAATCCGGTCGCTAATTTAAACTACTTATTAACAATCCAAGCTTATTTATACTATTATGAAAAGCTTTTTAAATATTTAATAATTTTATAAAATGTCGTACATAAAAAGTAATCATTAAAAATTTCTACATACAGTTATACATTTATTATTCTTAAAAATTATTATAATATAATGTTGTATTCAAACCCAATTGTTCAAGTGAATAATCGAAACAGGATCATGCATTTAAAATAACATCATCTATAAAAAGGAAATATGGGTTTAGGATGATTCATTCATAAATTTAGAATATACGTGTACTTAACGAAATGCTTGTTACAATGACACCCGCTTTTCAAAATTATATTACGACAACCTCAAGATTATTTTCTCGATTCCGTTGTTATGATGAACTTTCATTATTCCAAGTTCCTTTCTTTAATCTTACTACGTTCTATATAATGTATGTTAAATTGGTCGTGTTTTAGAAAATTCTTACGCGTGCGTTATATATAGATTTCTATAACAATAAATCTGACTAGGATTTAAGAAACCATAGCTCTAGCAAAAAATGAGGTCTTGCTTTGTCAAGGTACGTATGTATCTAAGTAATGAAAATCTAATTTTATTGTAACATCTGTATATGCGTGCGTGTGCAGGTAACCACAAATTAAAAAAAATTGAACTTGCATCGGCATTCTCTTATTAACATAATACTTATATCAATAACATTTCTACTAGAATGATTGGTCGACTTTAAATTTCTTCGTATCTTTATGGCTTGTATTTCCTCTATGCATTCTTTGTAAGCAGATCTTGATGCACTAAAATGTAATAGAAAATTGCAAGATTCATTTTCCGTATATATAAATATGCCGGAATTTTAAATAATATGAATAAAAAGGCATTTTTTTTTTTTCCTGAATTTTCTACACCATATTGTCACTCATTAAAAATCTTCTTGGTCTTTTTTTCTGAATTTAATTATTATTTCAATAAAAAGGCCGCGGAGTAAAAATGTCAGATCTTCGAAGACCTTTAGGGATTGACACTGTATGCATGTAAAACTGAATTATTTGATCTCTAAAATCAACGAGCCAGATTACAAAACTTTCTTTAAAAAATGAAAAAATTACATAGATCAATATATCTCCATTATATAACGAACAAAAGTCACCCATAATTCTACCGAAATCACAAATCTCGAATCCCCTAAAGTATCTCGATGAAACTGAAGAGGAATACATCGATGATCTAAAATGCTTGGTTGAGGTTTGCGTCGAAATATAAAATAGAGATGTTTACATTTGTGTGCGAAGATTTTACAATTTTTATCTCAACAAAAATTCAGCGAGTGTTCACGTGCTGGAACCATGGAAACCCTCCGCCACCAGAGTTAGGTCTCATGTTTCGTCTGATCGGTGAGATTTTCGAGAAAAATAAAGATTTTCATCTTGTAAGAGTCGTTTTTTGGATTATAACTAGAATGACCCATATCGCCTCTAATACAAATAATATTTCTTATCTCTAGCGACTAAAAATCATACCCGAAACTCGATTGATACAAGATCTTACCGACTTACTAATCAAATGGGTAAATTTCTATGAAAAGCCAAACCTTTAGCTTTATTTCTTAACGAATATATAATGCTCTTGATTTTTAGGCAGAAGAAATGGAAGGTCCATACTCCGAATATTGTCAAGAATATAAAAGAGATATCGATTTATGGCCGGAGATTGAACATCATCCTCCATTACAAGCTGTGCTGAACGTAATATAAAATTTTGATCGAGTCTTATTTACAAAAATAATGTTTTCACATAATTATTTTCTTCTTTACTAGAGGTTAACCTCAGAGAGGAACAGACCAATAACATTAGAATTCCTTTTGGACATACCAGTTAGGAGAGTCAACTATTATAAAAAAATTTATACGGTCAGCATGGCGTCATTATTTTTCTTTATTTTAAATTTTTCATCCGGACGCATCGAACTTAAGAATTTCCTTAAATTAGCGTCTTTCCAAGATTTCAGAGTTTGGGGATTTCAATCAAACTCATTTGGTTTCAGCAATTGAAAAATTCCAAAAGATTCTTGAATTGGATAGGGAAACAAAATCATTATCGAAACCAAGAAACCAAAAGTCGAATTATTTTCAAGAATCAGCAAATGTACAAAGCGTAGAAAGCAGGAGCAAGGATATTTCTTTGGAAAAAGGGCAAAATAATTCATCAGAACTTCCAAACCTTAAAAACGTCGAGAATTCAAATAAAGACTCTCGAGTAGTCCCAAAGTCCTTGTCAAATTCGATAGATCCCACTTTTCCGAATCAAAATCTGTTGGAAAAAGAGAAAATTTCGAGCACTGGAAGCGAAAAAATTTTGCCCGAACCGAAAAATGCAGATGACGTTGTAAGCTCCCCAGATCCTTTGGGAGAGTCGTGTCAAAACATGAAAAAATGGACATTAAAGGAATTTGAACTTCAATTAGACACCTCAATGGTTATGGATATATTTACAAATAAACCAAAGGTGAGCTTCATGAAAATAATTATCGATTCAATAGAATCCGAACCTCACCTTTTTTATTCTAGAAAATTAAAGTGGAACTTCTCCCACCTCATCTTCCATTCAAACGAGAATTAATTCTTCACAATGAATTCGTCGTAATGTTTCCGGACAATAAACAACGCACCAACGACCAAAAACAAGCCCACATTTTCCTATTAACCGACCTTTTACTGATTTGTCAAAAAAAGGATTTAGATGAAAAGCAAATAAAATCGGAAAAGGAATTTTGGTTAATGTATACGCCGTTGAGTGGAAGACACATTTCCATTTGTGACGATAACAAGAAAGGTTCGTTAATAATTTCAACTTTCATGTGGTTGAAATATGAGCAATAGATCACATAATTCTATACTCGTCAAAAATATAATAGGATTGGTTTCTTTGAAGATTTTGAAAAGGGAAAGTTTGCTACTTTTTTCTGAAAATAAGGTTATAAATGAAAAATGGTTAATGGAGATTTCAAAAATGATCACATTCGCAGCTTCGTTGGCGGGTATGCTGTGAATCATTTTGTTTTATTTTATTTGTTTTCGAATCTTTGTTTCTAAATTACAAAATTTCGATTTTCAGGCACAAGAACTCAAGTAAACGCCGATAATTCCCAAATGTTGCGCAAAATCAGTAGTAATCCACAACTCTTGTCCGGGGATGTAGTAAGAAAAAGCCCAAGCATGGGAAGTTTGCATAATGGATCTGCAAACTTATATAATGAATCCGGTGATGGCTTAAAAAAATTTCTGAGGGTCGAAAATTTTTCGCCAACATCCATGGGGACTGGAGAATGGTCAAAGAAGCTTAACAAATCATCATCTTTATCTTCTCTAAGAGGTAACGGCTCGTTCACGGGTAATCGTGGTTCGAATTTATCCTCAAAGGAGAGACACAATGACTTTCATGATGAATTGAATTTGAATTCAACCCCAGAACTAATAGATGATAATCATGTAAACTATAAAAAAACGAGAACTCTACTTGGTTTTCAATTTTGTGAAGTAAGCTATTGTGTCAAAAATGGCCATTACAAATCGGTTTTGGAAGATGGAGATGAATTTACTGTGGAATTAAGGTCAACGGACACTCGGAGAATTTGTCTGGTCGCTTTTTCGGAAAAAGACAAGAGAATTATATTACAAAAATTTGTTAATTCGGAAAATAGCCTGATCAAGAAGGACTCTCCATTTGCTGTTAGTATTAGCATAAAGAAAGAAGTAGATAAAAGCGTAGAAATCTTTAGAGTATCTTTGTCAACTCCTGGTGAGACTGAAAGATTTTTAGAGAAGTTTGATGATCTTGTGCAAAGGAATGTAATTATTCCGACCAAACCCCAAGCTTCACGATCCTTACCACCACAACTTCCGCAATCTCATATTCGATCAATGTCTCCTCAACTCTCGCCACAATCTTCCCCATCACCCTCAGTCCAATCGTCTCCTCACCAATCATCTATCATGTCACAACCCCCTTTACTTAATCTACCTCAAATAGTCTCACGATCCTCTTCACTGCAACAAATTCAGCAACACCAGCCCCGTTCCACCTTAGTTTTGGAATCTCCATGCAGACTTTTTTTAAAGAATGATCACGGAATTTGGAGTAATTTGGGATGGGGTAATATGAAGTTGTTTACAGAAACTAATCCATACCGTAAACGGATTGTGATAACATCCGCCGACAAAAATTCGACAAAATTGGTGGACTCAATTGTTCGGGAAGCGGGAGTTGAGAAAGTGGGGAAGGCCTCTATTGCAATCACCTTACAGAATATTATTGGATATTCAGGAAATTCTCCTGTCGTTTACATGATACAGATGAAAGATAAGGATGTGGTCAATAAGGCTATGGACATTATGAAAGAAAGACAAAGGAAATGAATGCACTTTGAGTTCTGATGGATCATATTCATTTCATTATTCATTCGTTTTATATATTGTTTATCATAAATGTCCAAAAAATGTGTAATCATATCATAGAAAAATCATAGAAACATCTCATTCTTTATTTGTTTACCTATTTTCTTACAATAATTACTATTCCATATCTTGTAAAAATCTGAATAAAAAAAAAAAAAATAATAGGAGGAGATATAAAGACCATTACTCAACATCTCCCAAAGAAAACGGCAGTTTCATTTCCCATCCAACAATTATAGTTTATTCGCAATGCTATCCTCACTAACTTTCACCAAGAATTTACCCGTATTTTCTCCATTAAACAATCTCAGCAAACCCTCTGGTGCATTCCTCAATCCATTTATAACATGCGCCTGTCTTTTAATCTTGCCTTCTTGTAACCATCTTGAAATGTCTTTTATTGCTTCAGGAAATCTTGACTGGTAATCAAACCTGTCAATTCGTTTTATCCCATCAAACACGTAGAGAGTTCGCATAAACAATATATTCTATTGAAAACTTTCTCGAAATAAAGATTATAAACCACTTACACAATAAAACCTTCCATCTTAGCACGCTGAGCGATTAATGCTGTATACATAGAGGGCCCCTTGACCACCTTCTCGTTATACTGACTGATCGCCCCGCACAAGATTATTCTACCATTTTTAGCAATCCTTGACAAACAAAGATCCAATATTTCTCCTCCGACATTATCGAAATAAACATCAATGTAGTTTGGTGTCGCTTTTGCAAATTGCTGGGCGAAATCGGGGTCTCGATAATTTAATGCGATATCAAAACCTAGTTCATTTTTTATCCAATCACATTTCTCCTTCGAGCCAGCTATCCCAATTACAGTGGCTCCCTTAATCTTTGCAATTTGGCCTGAGTAATTTTTTTTTTCATTAGAACGAATGTTGAGAAGTTACAAAAAGATATATACTGTCTGTATATCTAAAAACCTATGCTCACCAGCAATACTCCCAGTGGCACCAGCGGCCTAATATAAAAGATATTATTAATAGCATCACACAGTTGTTCAGTTTAAAGAATTAAAAAACTTACTCCAGACACGACAATTGTTTCTCCGGCTTTGGGTTTACCTGCAAAACAAAAAAAAATTAAACAAGGATATTCGTATAATCTAAAGAATTACATCTAATACATATATATATCATACCAACTAAATTTAATAAAATATAAGTTGCCGCATCGTATGATGATGAAAAGGTCGTGTCAATTATTATGGTAAATCTCGAATTATATATACTGTATACGTATCCCAATTAAATCTCACCATCTAATAATCCGAAGTAAGCGGTAAATCCAGTTAAACCTAAAACACCAAGATAATCTGTAACTGAAATTCCGGGAAGAGGACTAATTTACAATTTAAAACCAAAATTTACAACCGTCATAAGTAAAATTTTTTCTTATCGATATTCTTTTAATTTTCATGAATAATATAAATTCTCACTTGAGCTTCGTAACATTCGTTCCATCACTAACAGCATACTCCTGCCAGCCTATTATTTTAGGTTCGTAAGTAATTTAGATAAACATATTTGATACATTTGAACATTGAATTACCGAACGGGCCCAGAACTCTGTCACCAATCCCAAATTGTGGATTCTTGGAGATGAGAATTTCTAATAAAATTATTATTTTTTTTATAACGTTTAGCCAAAAAATAATCATATTTGTGAAGAGAAATGAAATTATACCTCCTATCCCGTTGCCACGCATAATTTCATTGAGTTCTGAAAAACATGAAGTGCATTAATATTATAATATGTATGCGAATCGATTCGGACAAGGCCGGTTACCCAAAGGTTTTATATAGCTGTTGAAAACAAAATCAGTTATCTTTTGAAGAAAAATTTTTTTTTTTTTTTTTTAGGCAAACTTAGTAATAATATTTGGGGTTTACCTCCTACGATTAACCATCCATCCACGCATCGCTAATTAAAAATAAAAAAATAAATATAAATATATATGTGTTAAAATAATAGAAGAATATTCGTGTAGATTGATATATACCGGGATCCAAAGACAAATAGAGAATTTTGACCAAAATTTGACCATCTTTCAAATCACCATCTTTAGGAATTGGGGTTTTGATGATTCGAAATGTTTCTTGTGGGTCAAATAATCCATGAGGCCTCTTCGCGAACAAAACTTTAGTATTGCTCATTTCTCAAAAAGAACGATTAACGGTAAAAACGGCAAGGACGATCTATGGATGCAAAATTTAACTAATTTATAATTGGGATTTTCAAAGCTGAGACATTTATGAACAAAGTATGAAACGACAAATAGTTACGTATAAAATAACCGAAAATCGGATCTTAAATTGGATTATAAATACAGCAGCTTCCGGGGCTCCACAAAACAATTCCCCAAATTACCTTGGCGATAATATCTTTGGTAGTTTCTCGTAACACATTGATAAATCGAGCTTGAGAATTTTACTTTGTTTATTTCGTGAATTAAGCCGCAGCCAAGCTGAATACTTAAGTATGCACTCGATACATACTTCATAACAACCCGTAGGTATAAAAAGATTCTAAGTTTGGCCTTGAGAAAGAAATATTTAAAAATGCACAAGTATGTTAAAAGAAAAGAGAAAATTTTTAAAAAATAAAATTCGACTTTTTCTAAAGACTCATATTTTTAAAATCTCTTTTTAATAAAAGTTTCTGATTGGAATATTCCGGTACTTATTATTTTATAGGAATATTTATTTCTATGAATATATTTTATTCTAATTATCTATAATAAATAGCTTATATGTATATTTTTTATGAATGCTCAAGGTTAATTTTATTGAGAATTGAACAGAATAATATATTAATTAGTGAAACAATTTTCCTAACTATAGTAATACTAATTACAGTAAAATATATTGATGGTTTTTACTATTCTTGCTATCTATCTGTTTTTGCAATTCTAAAAGACTTAATATATATATATAGTTTCGCTAATATTTCTGCCAATTAAAAGGTGATAAGAAAATTGTAATGAGAAAATTGTATATAAAAGAATGTAATATTTATTCAAATTTAAAATTTTTCATTAAATGTAATTTTGAATTTAGAAAAAAAGTTTTGAATAAAATAAATTATTTTGTGATTTATAATTTATGAATTTTTAATTTGCTAAATTTCTTAATTTTAATTTACTTTAAATAAAATGATTATTTTAATTGTTTTACAATTTATATAGAAGAAGAAGCTATTACTCAGTTTATAAATATCTTATTAAAAATTTAATAGAATTATAACTTTTATTTGAATATTATTAATTTATGTTTACAGACCTATAGGTCAATAGTGCAGTGATTAGCACTCCATAGGTCTGATTATAAGATACAGGTTCAAATCCTCCAGGTGGCAATGTCTGAAGTTGGTAAAATTTGCATCCGTTGGCCTAACTGTATCTAATTGATGTTTCTGAATATAGCTACTTGTTATAAGGTATTATAGGGAAAAAAATACTTGTTAATGAGTAGTACAGTCTATATAAGGATTGTGATTAGCTGTGATATCTGAAATTGACTAAAATTATTCTGATGTCACTCAGTTACATGGAATGAAAAAGTAACAAAAAACACAAGAGTAGATCCCTAAACCGGTAGGATGCCGCTGATAATCAAGCATTAGTCTTTGTGCCACTCACTGACTTAACTATCGGGAGGCCTTGGTGGAAGAAGAAATCTGTGAACTACTCTGAAGGACCAAAATACCGGTTCAGGATACTATATTCGATGGCCTGATAACTTACCTACTTTAGTATACAATAAAAATGTGTAGGGAATAATTAAGATGGAATCATACAGTTTTCTGTTGAAGTAGTACTTATGCATATATAGTATGATCAATATAGTTAGTCATATACAGTATATGATAGTTTACTATAATAGTTTATATATATAGTACTTATTTGAGAATATACACAGTAGACACATTTACCCCTTTCTTTGTCTGTATAAGCACATATGACAGTGATTCTGACCCACTGAATAACTCAAATAAAAACTGTAGGGCTTGGTTAGACATACGACAGTGACAACCTGCTAGCAATGATGCAGTGGACTAGAAGGGTTTTTACCCAAAGACACTGCGGAGTGAAATATTGTCTCCAAGGCTGAACTTAGAGGTTTTTATGCTTATGATAAGTTGGTTAGATTAGAATAATAGTTTAGCTGTAGTATGTATCATGTTGCTTGAATAAAAATGTACTTTTGTCTTCATTTGATTAATAAACTGATAATCTAGCCTAGCTATAGGTACTCAAAAAAAAAATTAATTTATATTTACTTATATATAAATTTCATTATAATAATATAATATTTTTTTTATTAATCTATAATTATGTTTTTTATATCATGACGGGCTTATGCCTAACTTTATTGTTTTTCAAATTATATATATATATATTGTGCTAAATATAAGTACATGAGTGTATATTTAAAGACAATAAAGATAATGATAAGCTAAAGCTATTCCTAAAGCTACTTTAAGGTTTATTGCTCTTTCTTTTATATAAAAAAAACCAGTATCCCTTGAGCATGCTAGTGTCATAAAATGAAAATTAAAAAATAAAAAATAAAAAATTTAATAGTTATATGTATTTCTGAGAGCATATAATTTCTATTTCTTGACATATATCTATCTTATTCCAATTTTCCTTGTAAGAATGTTTAAGGAAAAAACTTCTACTGAGTCTTTATAGAAATAAGATAAAGGTCAAATAAGAAATACTTTATAGTTTTAAGGCTTGTGAAGAGATTATACCCAGGTAATATATTAATATTTATATGGGTGACTTGAGAATTTTCTAGTATATCATCAATTAAATCCATTTCTATCTAAATATGAGTATATTTATCCATTTATATATCTTATTTCAGATTTAATTCCTTATAAGAAGAATAGTATTTAGCTTTATAATAGATATATACTGCTAGTGGCCATTGGTGTTAGAAATCAATAAGAATTTTCCAGATTATTTGGCCAGCTTATATATTACTGCTGACATTTTTAAACTCGAGTTTCAATTGGTGAAGTAGTATTAGCATTTTAATTTTCCAGTTTGAGATTTTTTAAAGATAGAATAAAAACTTACTTCCTGGGTTGCTTTGTATAGAGCTTTACTACTAAATATTCCTAATGACTCCATGCTTTTTCTAGTTTAGACTTTTCTAAGTAGTAAAGGTTAAAACCTACTTAATATATATATAATCAAGATATAAACAATTCTGACTTGAAAAAAAATTAATCAAGCATTTTATAATCTTTACTATGGTTGGATAGATTCTTTCTTGTATTCAATTATATATCAATGATATGTCTTATATCTACTCATACCAACATATATAACTTATGGTGGATTTTAGATTATTATGGGATAAAGAAAATATATTCAAACATATGAGATGATCAATAGGAACTTATTATCAATTTTTCCAATATGTTTTGTGTTGACTAGGAATCACAACAAATTGAATCTGATTAGATTTTAGATAAATCTTATTTGAATCCAATTGGATCAGTTTTTATTTGATCTGATTTATATCTGAATAGATTTATTTTTATTTGATTCATATTTGTTTGATTAATCTGATATTTTTTTTAATTATATATATATATATTTTTTTTTGTTTTTCCCTATCTAATGTTTACTTGTCATCTTTAGGTTTTATTTATAAATATTTAGTTAATAGTTTACATTTTTAATAGTTATAATTTATTGTCATTCACAACCATTTTCTTTTAAATTAAAATATATATCTGTATAATTTAAATTTTTTGCAATACTGCTATTACCTTGATTTTTTTTTATTGATTCTTCCA